AGAGTTATCCCTTGTGGGGGTGGTTTTATTCGGTTTTATTTTAAATGGATTGAGATTTAATATAAATTTTAAATATTAAAAAATTAATTTTAAAAAATATATATAAATTGTGCCTTTCTTTTTATTTCTTTCTAGAGTTACATAATTTTTAATATAAAATAAATTTTTTTGACTTATATCTTAAGATATATATTAAAGATATAATAATTATATAATTATATAATTAGTTTATATGAAAATATATAAATATTGATTTTTAATTAATTAATTAGTTAAAATTTTACATGTGATAAAAGTACTAAAATAAATATCAATTATTATATTTTTTTAATATAAATTAATTATAAAAAATATCTTTATTACATTTTTAATTTATATTCTTAAAGTATATAAATATTTAAAACAGAGATACATATTAAACAAACCTTATATAAATTTAAAAAATTATTTTTCAAATTAATAGATAATAATAGAGTACATAAATATCTATAAAGTTATTTGAATACTTTTTATAAAGTACTCATGCATATTAATTTATTATTAATATTTAATTTTTTAACAAGCATTCATGCTCTTTTTTTGTACTTTGATATAAAAATCCACATTCCCCTATGGTATTTACTTTAATGTTTGAAAAATAAAGGGCTTATTTGGTTCATGATAGTGCCTAATCATTTGTCAAATTATAAAAACAAGTTAAATTCAATAAACTTTCATAAAGAATCAGAAATAACTAAATTTTTATGTCTAATTTTTCTTTTATATTAATAAAGAATCAAGGATATATATTCATTAGGAAATAGAAAGAATACATAATCCTCATTTATTTTTAATTTAGAGAAAATTATCAACATTAAAACTTAATTATTTTTAATTTCTTAAAAAAAATTAAATTTAATGTATTTTTATAATTTGACAAATAAATAATCATTACCACCAACCAAACATGAGCAAAACAAAGTAACATTGGTTATGTAATAATATCATCCATATTCAACCAATAAGCGAAGCATTTCAGTTTTGGCCGTTGGAATCTCAATCCTAACATAGAAAAAATATAATTATATAAATAGAAAATAAATAGTGAATTTCACGTCCATGTAAAATTACCAGTCCTACATGGCAAACAATTTCCTATTAATTAATAGAGGAAACCCACTAATGACATATTATTATCTTCCCACCAATGACAAAGTATCGGCTTTTTAAGGCGAGAAAAAGAGCTCCACACAAAACCCCTTTTTTTTCACAATAGAGATTGAAAAGTACATGCTTCAAGTGCATGCTTATTCACATTATAAAGTGGAAATTGCAAAGCCAAAAAATGAGATTTTGGGAAGATTTTAGAAACCATAATATTTCTTTTCTTAATTAAGCCCTCGTGTCCATTATAAAGATTTTTTTTTTTTTTTAAAAAAAAGGTGCTTTGCCTTTTCCCACTAGAATACAGTTAGTTTATTTTGGTCAAAAGCTTGCTTTCTTAACTTTAATTATTAGGTATTTCGACACGTAAGAAGCTGACTAAGACATGCTTGACAGAGGCGGATAAACAAACACAAATGAGATAACATAAAAATAAATGAGTTTTCAATTTTTCAGTTCAGATAACAAAAAAAGAAAATATAGATTAGAAAATGAAATTATTAGAATATTTTTTAATGAATAAGATAGAAAGAAGACTCATTATGGGTACTTTATCATATAGTCTAGATTGAAAAATACATTTTTAATAAAAAAAAAAAAATTGGTTGATTTGAATTAGTATTTACTACACTTTAATTTGGGAGGCAAATTAACTTAAAAGAATTCAAATTTCTATCACCTAGTTTATTTATTTATTTATTTGTTTTTTATATCAAGTTTAGATTCTTTATTATCTTTTATTAATTCCTAAATTTTATAATGACTTTTTAAATTCTAATTAGGTTATTGTCTTTGTTGAGTAGGAGATTGCCTTTGGTAATTGACAAGAATATTTTTTTAAAAGTTATACATAACCATATTAAAAAGAAGGAATATTAAGAGGATTTAAAAAAATAATATTAATTTTATCCCATAATTTAAATATATCTATTCATTTTTTTATACTATTATCTTATTTAAAGATTTAAATAATACGCACTTCTCTGAATTAAAGAACTATAGTTAAATAAGATTCAATAATCTTGTATTGCATGTGCAATACAGTTAAATAAGATTTAATACTTGTGCATTGCATATGTAACACAATTAAATAAAATTTAATACTTGCGTGCATTGCACGTGTATTGCATGAGATCATTTTAATGTTTATTTTTCAACATTAAATAAAAAAGGTTGATATACCTTTCTAAGGTACAACTCAAACTAAGTAATCTAAGTACTTATATCTTGCAACCAAATTAATTTTGGATTTTAAAAAATCTTTCAAATAAATATTTAGATTTTGTTGTCAAGAATTGAAAAAACTTTAAACTCATTTACAACGACTGTTGATGATTGCAAAAGAAATGATCAGAAGAATATACTTAAGGAGCATGAAGGGAAAGAGTGAGTTTAAATAGACAATACTTGACTTTTTCAATATGTTTAGGCTGAGTGAATTCCCCTCCCCTCCCCTCAAACCAAACATATTGTTCATTTTCTTGACTTCATTTCTTTAAAAAAAAAAAAAAAGTAGATTAATGCTACCTTCCTATCTCTTAACTTCTTATTTAGGAGTTTTTGAATATTTACACCTTTAGTCTTTTATATTAAATTAATCAATGCAATTGTTGGAGAATATGTATTTTTCTATTCTTAATTCTGCAACTGCAACAGTTTTTGAATTTCCTGCAACTGCAACAGTTTCTGAAACAGAAGATTCTGGAGCAGATTTTTGATGCAACAGATTTGAATTTTGAAAGTAGTTTGTTTTGCTGTTTTGATTTTCTGTTTAGATAAAGATAAGGATTAGCTTTCCTTGATTTTCTCCTT